TCAAAAAACATGTAATGTACTTCCAACATACAATGGCAAAGAATAAATATTCCTATTCAAGGGAGGAATATAGGCATTGCAAGGAAATAGTAAACCAAAGCAAGACTGAAATTCAGCAAGGCAAACCCCAAACCCTTCATCTCTAAGACTGACACCTGCAGTTCCTGATGGAATCATCGCATTTGGTTCCAAAGGATGTAGGTAGCTCTGGCTGTGCAGCATACATCCCCTCATGCTTGGGCTGCCTCCACCCATGCTAACATCTGTTCTCAGCAGATGTCTCATGGTTCTTTTATCTATAACATACTGGAGTATCTTTTTTAACTTAGCCTTCACCTTTATAGCTGCACACTGTGGCCTCTCGGGGCTTCTCTGAAGTGGACCCCAACCCTGTCACATGATGTCTAACCTCAGGGGCATTCTGGATCTTGGTCAAGCTTCCATGACTCCACACACTTGCAATATCATGCGCCTCTCTATGTTTCCAGGCTTATCCTGGTAAAATATTTTCCTAAGCAGTTGTTTGCAACCAATGAATCACTTCTGTGGCATCCTTAGTTTAGTGTCTCTCCTTCAAATAAATTTAAATGGTCACAAGATGAAAGCATTGAGAGGTGTGTCTTGATCTCAGAGCACAGTGCAGAGTAGGAGCTTCCTCTGTAGTGGTGCCCATCTCACTAAAACTTGAAACTACTATCTTCATATAACACCGCCACATCTTCTTTGCTAATGCCTTTAAACACACACTCTTCTCACCAATCTTCTCTCTCTCTCTCTCTCTCTCTCTCTCTCTCTCTCTCTCTTGTTTCTCTCAGTCTCTCTCACTGTACTGTACTCACCCTTCTCCTTCTGACAACATAATGCCTTCATGGTAAGATGAAATGATTGGCTCAGGCATTGTAGGCATGTGATACAGCACTAGGCTCCTAGGTAAGGGTCACTTGAACACTGACAGAACTGGTTTTGCAGAGGGCTAAGTGGCTTGCTACAGCTAGCATATCAGCTCAGGTACACTGGAACAAAGGATTGGTTGATGTTCAGGGCTGGACTGAAGAGAATCCAGAAAGATTTCATTACACTACCCAGGAATTAAAGTTGATGAACCATTTATTTCCGTAATTTTCCATTTAGTATTTTCATACTTTGGTTGGCCAGCTGTAACTCAAACCTTGGAAAGCAAACCCACAGGTGAGGGACGAATACAGCTCTTGCTGTACCCTCTTTTCTGACTCAGAGCTTGCTCTTCTTCATACTTAAAGGGCTTTTCTCTTGCAGCTTTTCCTCTTTTTCGACTTCTGGTGGATAATCCCATGGTCATCCTTTCTATGTAGTGGTCGTCAAGGTTGGTCAAGTTTGTGGAATGGGCAAAGGGTGACTAATCATAATCAGACCCAAACCCTGAATTTTTTACTACATCTGCCTTAATAACTTTCTAGTGGAAATTAAAATGAACTAAATTGTATACACTGGTTTGAACAAGCTATCCGCTTCTGAGAACCAATTTAGCTCCAGGAGCTGGGCCTGAGCTGCAGGAGCACTCAAGAAAGAGGCAGACTTTGATCTGTGGCCCCGCCCCCGGGCTGGTGGGGGGAATGGGCGGAGCTAAAGGGAGGAGCGCTCAGGCGGAAGGCGGGGCCTCTGCGAGGCGGCCCCGCCCCAGGGGCGGTGCCAGCCGAGGGAAGGGCGGAGCTCACAGGCTGCTCTGCTTCCGAGACTGAAGTGGTGGTTTGGTCGGGCCTCACGGGTGGCCCAGGTCACTGTTTGCGCCTCGGCGGCCATCTTTCCTGCGTCCCGCTCCCGCCGCGGGAGGGGCGGTGTCCAAGCCGGAAGCGGCTGTGTGGCGGCACGCCGCCACCTCAGGTCAGTGAGTGCGGCCCGGGCCGCGTCTTGGCTCTCCGCTTCTCGGCGACGGGCCGTGTGTAGCCTCGGTGGGCGCACCCAGCCTCGCCGGCGGGTCGCGATCGGCGCGGTGGGATAGTCACCGCGCCTGGCGGCCAGAGGGCCCCGGCTGGAGCCTGCGGGTGTCCCGTGGCCGCGTGGCGACCGCCCTGGGCACCGCGGGTCGCGCTGCAGCTACCGCCCCGGGGGTTGGTGCACCGCGTCCCAGGCTTTAAGGAGAGGCTCAGTAGGAGCGTGGGACTCGTGATCACATTCTTAGTTTACCCGGAATTACAACATGCGCTGTTCCTCTTGTACCTATTAAATACCTCTTGTACCTATTAAATCCTTGGTGAGCCTTATTCTCTTCTGAGACCAAAGATGCAAATTCCTTAGAGAATCAGAGGTGTAAAGCCTCTGCCCCTGTTGAATTGCTAAAGGGCTACTCTTGCGGGCTTTGCATAACTGTTTTAAAGAAAATTTATGTGTGTGCAGTGCTTGGTCTTGGAGAAGATAGTACTCACCCTTTAAATTTCCTGGAACTGCTGTCATTGTACAGTAATTTAACATGGTGAGAAAGTAGAAGGAAACTTTTACAGAACATACGATTGTATATTCTGTTGTTATAGCATATTGGACTTGTGGCCTAATAACCATGTGGGGTTAAGGTGTGTGATGTAAAATACACCTTAGATTTCCAAGACTTAGCACAAAATTGTAAGAGTTCTAAGTAGTAGTGTTAGAGTACCAAAGAGCCCCATAAGTTTAACTGGCCAAGACTATTAAAAAGATCACTAGTCCATCTGTTGGAGGACCTACTTTCCAAAGTCTCACTGGTCCATCACCTGGTGATAGAACCACCCCTAGGAAGGCATATACACCTTAAGTTATGCTAAATAGATGGGCAGAATACCTTGAGTGTTAATGAGGTAGCAAATATTTCCTGCCTGGAACTTCCTCAGATCTCTATAGACCTTCCAGACCAGCCACAGTCATGTAGGTCTCTGTAAGTCTGTTCACTTTCCTGAACTCTTCAGGAAGGTGTAATTTCTCCTTTTCGTCTTCGTGCCTTTCTTACTAAATATGCTTTCTCTGAAGCTTTGGGCTGCCCCTGGCATCCTTGTAGTTACTCACTTTTTCTTTAAAGCTTCCTTCTCCCAACCATGTGGCTGCCAGTCATCTGTGTCTGACCTCCATGTAGGCTCTAAACCTGCATGGCTTCCATAATTTTCTTTCCTTCTTCCCACTATTCACCTCCTCAAGGCAGCTGCCAAGATTACCAGCTCACCTGCCCTGAGGATTTTTCTTTAAGATTCTAATAAAATTGTAAAAGCTTCTGTTTGGGTCCATTCTTAAATTCTTTTATGAATGAGACTAAGAACCCTCTAAGGGGCCCTCTTTTCTTCCCATTTCAATAGTTTTTATAGTGACTATTTTTAGCATTTTTGTTTTAAATAGGTTTAAGTAAAATATATTCCAAATTTCATTTGTTTCTTTTTAAAAAGTATGGCCCACTCTGTTGAATAGTGTTATAGACGCTCAAGTGGTGAGCATAGACTCTACATGGCTTTCTTTTGCTGAGAAACCATTGAAGGGAAGAGAACACTTGTTAAACTTGAAGGTGAGAAACTAAATGTAAGCAGCAGTTACTGGAAATTCTAACCCCACTCCGTGGATTCTCCAGGGTGACCAGCCTTTGAAAGCACTATCTTCCAAGCATTAACTTATTTGAAAGAATGGTAGTGATGCCAACATATGTGGGAAGAAAAGAGCTGATCTTTGTTACAACTTCGTGAGGTGGAAATTTGGTAGATTTTATCCTAGTATTAAGGGACATGTTAGGGTTGAAGCTAGTGATTGGCTGGTTGTATGCTCTCCACCAGATTCATGGTTATGTGTGTTAAAGAGCAAGAACCCATCTATATTTCGTGTTAGACTTAGAAGGGTGGTTATAGACTGATAATTTACAGGGCCAGCTTCATAATGTGCAGCTTGGGCAGTAGCACAGGTCCCAGCATGTAGAATGTCTAGCACGTAGTTTAAATTCCTACTCCCAGTGTGTTGAAATGTTTCGTAATAAATATACAGGCTGCCTGCATTTTCATTTTGCACGAGGCCCTGTAAATTATGTAGCTGATCTTTCTCTACCAGTAGTCTAAGATGGAAGTTGACAGATCTTGCACAAGAACCAAAATATCTGGTCTTGACTTTGGGCTCACATAAAATAAGAAGAATTTATTAGTTCTTTTCTGACTCACATTTTTGTGAATTACTGTAATAATTTTGTGGGTGGTGACATATTTTGCATGTGTAGCATCAGAAGAAATGCTGATTGTTTCTTCATTGACAGTCATGTACATCAAATTGTTAAAATTACAGTGAATGAGTTTTATTGGTGTTCCTCATAAAATACGCTGACAAAAGGAGCTTAGGGAGAAGTCTTTATTTTAGCACAATTCCAGATTACAGTCCATCATATCAGGGAAGTCGAGGCAGAAGGAAATTGAAGGAGCTAGTCCTATTAGAAGCATAGGCAAGAACAGAGAAAGGTTAATTAATGCATGCATGCTTTCTGCTTAGATCTCTCCACTCTTAAACAGTTGAGGATCCCCTACCACCCAGAGTGGGCAGGTCTTCCCACCTCAGCATAATCAAGATAATCCCCTTAGACATGCCCACAGGCCAACCTGCTCTAGACAGTCCCTCTTTGAGACTCTCTTTCTAGGTGATTCTAGATTAAGTTGACAATGAAAACTAATCATCACATGCAGTAATGCTGTTTTTTTTTTTTTTTTTTTTGTTGTTGTTGTTTGTTTGTTTCTAAGACAGGGTTTCCTGTAGCTGATGCTCCTACCTCTACCTCCTAAGTATTGGGTATTGGGGTATAGGTGTGCAGCACCAAACCTAGCAGACAGTATACTTTATATTGCATTTTTAATTGGATTTTTCCATGTAGAATCTAGTTTTCTTACCACATGTAATTTGTCAGAATTATATAATGGAATTCTAGATAAAAAATATGTTTATATAAACATTGAGTTTTTTTTTCTTCAGTGACATAGGAAGATGGACAAGATCTCATGATATGTCAGTCTTTAAGAGGCTTCCTCTATTTGTGAGAAGTCTAGGCATCAGTATCATCCCTTACTAGACAATATCTCTTCCTTCTCTCTGCTGTCTTAGCTACTTCCTGTTATATGATATGCCTCTCTTCTTTCTCATCAATTTTCAAACTCTGTTCCAGTTGGATGTGCTTCTTTGTTAGAATGTAGGCTTTATTAGAGTAGGACTTTATCTACCTCTGTTCACTGCTATGTTCCCAGAGTTTAGAACTGTGCCCAGAACATAGAAGGTACTCAGTTACAGAATAAACAGAAGGCAATGTATTAGAATAATCTTTTTTTAGGAAGCCTCGCTTGGCTCTTTTCTGCTTCACTGGACCCAGTGAGTACTTTGTTCTTAGTTTGAAACCAGCTTCCACTGCAAAGACGAAACACTAATATTCTTCAGGGTAGAAGACGATCGAAGCACAAGAAAATGGGTACTGCTTTGAAATAATAGTTGTGAGAAGTGAGAGAGGGACCACTGAATACATGTATTCATTTAACAGATATTATTAACTGTCTGCTAAATGCCTACCTCTGTGCTCTGTACTAGAAGTACAGTGGAAACCAAAAGATATTTCATCTCTCTTGGGAGACATCTAGTAGAGACACAAATATGTCATTTAAAGAGGAAAAAATAGCATTCAGTGAGAGTATATTTCTAGGTAGGAGAAAGTGGTTGATGTAAAGTTGAACAATTGTTTACTTAGTCAAGTGTGAGGGAAGTGTCCAGCCAGCAGGAACATTTTCAAAGATATATGACGGTTGTGGAGAGAGGTGGATTTTAGGAACTGAAAAGAACAACTCTGTAGCTAAAACACAGCAAGGTGAATGGTATGCCAGAGGTAGACCAACAGGTAGAGGCTGAAAGTATTTAGAGCTTTGTAAATTAGTTGGGTAAACTGGTCATGTTTGTGTCATACAAAGATTATTCTGGGATGGAAAGGTGACTCAGTAAAGTGCTTGCCACATACTCATGAAGACCTGAGTTCAGATTCTCAGAACCTGTGTAAAAAGCTGGGCATAGTGGTATGTATTTGTAATCCCAGCACTGGAGAAGCAGTGACAGAAAGGGATCCCTAGGACTTGCTGGCTAGTTAGTGTTGCTGAACTGGGGATCTCCAGGTTAAGAGAGAAACCATCTCTCAAAAAATAGGTGTACTAATTGGACTTAATGACTTACTGAAAAAAAGGAGGGGATGGAAGTGGCTCTGGAAGGGATGGGGGGTGAAGATGATCAAAATACATTATATGAATGTGTGAAGTTCTCAAAGAATTAATAAAAATGTTACATATTTAAAAATATAGTGGCAAGTGATAGAGGAAGACACCTGACCTGACATCTGGCTTCTACACATGCACACACATACACACAGGCAAACATCCACACAAACATTCTGATTTGAAAGGAGCAGAATGGAAAGAGTGTTAAGAAAATTGTTGAGTTAGCACCACAGATTAGACATTATGTACACCTTAATTTCTTAGTCTGTAGAGCCTTGAGACTGTCTTCAGTGCAACAGCCTGAAGAGAGGAGAAAAGGGGGTAAATAGTTGGGATAATCAAATATTATAGAAAGGCAGGAACAAAGTGGAAAGAAATTGAAGGTGATACTAAGAATATAATTGAGATGACTGCTTCTGGGCTTCAAAGGGGTTAGAAAGAAAATAAAGCCTATATGAGAATTCCTAAATATTTTTTCTAATCTCTAAATTATAAGGGGACTGGAGAGATGGCTTGATGACCAAGAGTACCTACAGAGTATCTTGCAGAGGATCCAAGTTCAGTTTGGCTCTAACAACTGCCTGTAACTCCAGCTCCAGGGGATCCAGTATCCTCTTCTGGCCTCTGTGAATGCTGCATTCATATGTGCAAACTACACTGAGACATACACATCATTAAAAATAAAATATCCCCCCAAAATTATGAATCTATGAAATTCTAGATTGGTTATTCATGACTAAAAACATTTGCAAGATTAAAAGGTAAAACAATTACATTTGAGTTGTATACTTAGAATATATCTTTATTAGGAATGTATGTCAACCTGTATACCTGATACCTGGAATAGATATGAACAGACCTTGTCTTTGCCCTCCTTTGAAAACTGACAACTTATTTGTATGAGAATTGTAAATGTATTTGTTCATTTTGAATCTAAACTATTACTTCTTGCCAACCTGTTAGAAACAAACACTTAAATATTTGTAGCCAGATGTTGTTATTCAAGCAGTGTTTTTAACCAATCCAGTTTTAGTCAATACTTACCTAGTTGTATAGAATTGAAACCTGAAAGAGCCTCTAGTGCATATTAAATATGTAATAGCACACCATACTTCTGGTTCTGAAGCTGTTGATCAGATTAAAGTTGATGTTCAGATTTTAAAAGTGAATCAGTTTAAAGAAAAATATTCAGTGGTATATGTGGTATATACAAGTGGTATATGAATGAATAGAGTTTGGGAAATGCTTATCTAAAGCCACTTTGTTACTGAACAGATGAGAAAGCCACCCTCTAATAAATATACAGCAAAGCTAGAAATCAGTCTCCTATCTCCTTTGTACATTTCAGTTTTTATTCTGAGATACAAATCTGGTTTTTATTGTTGAAAGTTGAAGAAACTATTAACTTAGTACAATATTATGCTTTAGATGTGTATTCATTATACTGTACATATGCAGTTGTTTATATTAAAGTTACTTTAAACTCAATGAAATTTAACATCTTAACCATTCTAATGCTTGGTAGCTACATGTGTCTAAGAATTCCCATATTAGCACAAATACAGAACATTTATCATTGAGGAAAAGTTCAGTAGAACAGTGAGGCTCTATTGCTTAGGAACATGATTCATACTACTTTCACTCTTCAAAGGTATGATGCTTATTAATTTACTCATCACATTGAAGTTTTTATAACTTGAGGTTAAATTGAAGGTATAGTAACTAGACAATTAAAATAATTCATCATGGGAAATAAGGCAGGATTGGGTTCTCAAATTCCTACTAGTTCACTTTATTGGAAGAAGTGGTTTCTCTCCTTTCTCTTTTGTTTTCTGGTTTGTATTTTGAGACAGGGTTTCCCTATAGCACCAGCTAGCCCAGAATTCACTATGTGGACCAGGCCAGCCTCTTATCTCACAGAGATTCGCCTGCCTCTGCTTTCCAGATGCTGGAAATAAAGGTGTGTGCCACTGCACACAACCTAGCCATATTTGATCTTCTGAATACAAGCCAAAAAATGTTTGTAAATACAAAAGCCGTCCTTTCTTCTTTTTAAATCAATTGAATATTGCCTTGAATCTGAAGAAGATAGAGGAAATACAAAAATATGAGTACTCATAGAGAATTCAACTTAAGGATTATATTTTGTTTATGTTTTAAACCTTTTATTTTTGAACATTTTCAGTGAATGGCCCTGACTGGAGTTTTTGAGCACATCAATAAACATGAGCGGGACCAAACCTGATATTCTGTGGGCACCACACCAGGTTGATAGATTTGTTGTCTGCGACTCAGAACTGAGCCTTTATCATGTGGAATCTGCTGTGAATTCAGAACTCAAAGCTGGATCTTTACGCTTGTCTGAAGACTCTGCAGCTACATTGCTGTCGATAAATTCAGATACACCCTATATGAAATGTGTTGCATGGTATCTCAATTATGATCCTGAATGTCTCCTAGCAGTTGGACAAGCAAATGGTCGAGTTGTACTTACAAGTCTTGGTCAAGATCATAACTCAAAGTTCAAAGATTTGATAGGAAAAGAATTTGTTCCAAAACATGCACGACAATGCAATACCCTGGCATGGAATCCATTGGATAGTAACTGGCTTGCTGCTGGCCTAGATAAACACAGAGCTGACTTTTCAGTGCTAATATGGGATATCTGCAGCAAATACACTCCTGATATTGTTCCCATGGAAAAAGTGAGACTTTCAGCAGGTGAAGCTGAAACAACATTATTAGTAACAAAACCACTTTATGAGTTAGGACAAAATGATGCTTGTCTCTCTCTCTGTTGGCTTCCACGAGACCAGAAACTTCTCCTTGCTGGTATGCATCGTAACCTAGCCATATTTGATCTTCGGAATACAAGCCAAAAAATGTTTGTAAATACAAAAGCCGTTCAAGGGGTAACAGTAGACCCATACTTCCACGATCGTGTTGCTTCCTTCTATGAAGGTCAGGTTGCAATATGGGATCTTAGAAAATTTGAGAAACCAGTCTTGACTTTAACTGAGCAACCAAAGCCCTTAACAAAAGTAGCATGGTGTCCAACTAGGACTGGTCTGCTTGCCACTCTAACAAGGGATAGTAATATTATTAGGTTGTATGATATGCAGCATACACCCACTCCCATTGGCGATGAGACTGAGCCCACTATAATTGAAAGAAGTGTGCAGCCTTGTGACAATTACATTGCTTCCTTTGCATGGCATCCAACAAGTCAAAATCGAATGATTGTTGTGACTTCCAATCGAACAATGTCTGACTTCACTGTTTTTGAAAGGATATCTCTTGCCTGGAGCCCAATTACATCTTTAATGTGGGCTTGTGGTCGTCATTTGTATGAATGTGCAGAAGAAGAGAGTGATAATTCTTTAGAAAAAGATATAGCAACGAAAATGCGCCTTCGGGCTTTATCGAGGTATGGACTTGATACAGAGCAAGTGTGGAGAAACCACATTTTAGCTGGAAATGAAGACCCACAGCTCAAGTCACTCTGGTATACTCTGCACTATATCCTTTGTACTGTTGACTTGTAGGGTTAAATTGGGTAGAAATGTTCTTGAAATTTGCTCAGAGGTCAGCATGTAAACATGTTTTATATGCAAACACAGATTGCATAATAGTAAATTTGAGGTAAAATTTTTAAAATTCTTGAAATACTGTTTTGTAGATTAGGAGCAAGAAAGGTATACAGTAGGCTATACCTCAGTTGTATAGATAACTATTATGACTTGGCTCCTAATTAAAATTAATTCAGCTTTGAAATATTTTATTATGATCATTAGCAGTGTTTCCTATGCATTTAAATACTTATGAAGCAGTATACAGAAGATATGGATCAGAAATCTCCAGGCAACAAAGGATCATTGGTTTATGCAGGAATTAAGTCAATAGTAAAATCATCTTTAGGTAAGAAAATTCCTTTTTGTTTTCAAATATATTTATAATTTTTATACTCTTCCTTTGCCCCCCATTTGATTAAAATTATGGTTATGTCAGAACGGTGTGCATAAATATCCTTTATGCTTTTCTCATGTTCTAATTAGATACTTTAGTGAATTGCTAAGTATGTAAATAAATATAATTGATTATATTTATATACCAAAATGCTTTTTTGGAAGGAATTTTGGTTCTTTGAAGTGGGCTTTCTTGAGACTATTAGTCTGTGTTATTTATTTGAAGACCAACTTTGAGAGATCTTTTCAAACACAAGACGATTTATAGGATGCTGATTTTTAGTTTGGATTTTATCACAGCATCTTGTATTGAAAAGGCTAAATTAAAAGATTTCTAATTGAAGAAGATGCTTTTTTATTTTGCTGCCCAAAGACTTTCACAAAGACTACGCTGTGACATGAAATGTGGTTTAGCTTAAAGAAGTCAGACCTGGGAGTCCTTGATGAGTTGAGGAATCAGTTAATGGATAAATTAGTGTAAGACTGAAATTGATAAACTAAGAATAACCCTCCCTTTCCCTACCTCCCCCCAAACCCAACCCTTTAGACTGGCTGCTTTATTCTTTTCGTTGGAACTAAATTGTGTGTCAGACTGTAATTGTCATTCAACCTAGGATTAGGTCTTTTTAAATTTTATTTTATTATTGATTTGGTTTTGGGGCCTTTTTTTCCAGTGTGTATTTTTTTTACTGAATTTTTGTGCATTTCATACAAAACATCTTAATCATCTTTATACTCCCCTCACCCATACCCTCCCATTACCCCTTCCACCAGATTTCATGCATTCTGTCATTTATGTTAAGGCTTATCAAGTTTGTGTACCCAGATGCCCCTCAGTACAAGTTCATCCACTGAAGTCTAGTCAACCTTTCTAGAATCTCTCCCTTAAAGAAAATCAACTCTCCCTCACCCAGCATCATCTGCCAGTATTTGTTTGGCTAAGGTTGGGGTGTTTTGTTTTGTTTTGTTTTGTTTTGTTTTGTTTTGTTTGTTTTGTTTTGTTTTGTTTTGAGACAGGGTCTCCTGTATCCCCAGATGGCCTGGAACTCGCTATGTAGACCAGGCTGGTCTCAGTCTCACAGAGATCCACCTGCCGCTGTTTCCTGAGTGCTGAGATTAAAAGTGTGTACCACCATACCTGGCCCCTTTCTAGCTTTTGTTAGTCCAGTTTGGGCTCAAGTCCAGTGGCTAGCTTATGCAAAGCCTGGGTTTGTTTAATCTTCAGCATCACAAAAATGATAATATTTTAACTGTAATTATTTAACTAATTTTCAAATTTCCTAAGTATTACAGTTACCTCACCTTGAAATTTTTTCAGAAAGCAATCAAGTATAGTTTAAAATAAATACTAACATGAATAATATTTTAGACTTGTCACAACATACCACAGTGACAATAACTCCTGTTATTTAAAAGTATGAATTAATATTGTGGGATGCATAGACCTACTTTTACTAAGTATTTAGATTATGATTTTTAGTTATATATAATTACATATATAAAATTTAACTTAAAAGTGGCAACTACGTTTTAAATCTTTTTCTCTTTCTAATGTTTATCCTTTTTATACTTGGCCAGATTGATTATAGTCAACTTTGGGCAGTGTGCCACTTTCTTAGAACATGCATTATCTCATCATTTCTGAGTCAAGCATCTGGGCATGGCCTAGCCAGGCCCTCTGCTCAAAGTCTCACAAGTCTACAACAAAAGTTGTAGCTAAACTTTCAGTATTTTCTTCTAGAGATCAGAGTAGGCTTCCAAATTTGTGTGGTTGTTGGCCAAATTCAACAATTGCAGAAACAGATTGAAGCTGTATGGAGTGGGATATAAAGGAAAGTTCCTAGGAAAGAGATTTAGGTACACATTTGGTTCTAAATAGAAGGCTGCTCATCATCTGTGTTAACCAGAGAAGAAGAGGAAAGGATATGTGTGGTACACTGCATGTTTACGGTTCAGTGACCAGAGGTTGAGAGGCTGAGGGTTCCTTGCAGTTGCAGGACTAGGATACATACTTCTTTCTGGTTGATGGCCTTAGCTCCTAGAGGTTACTGACAGCTCCTTGCCATACTACCTTCTCACCAACACAGTACCTTGACTGTTTGAAGACCAGCAGATCTCTTTCCTACTGTTTCTCTTACTTTTAGACCTTCTTTTATAGTTCACCTGATTAACTCAGGCCTACACAATATAACCTCCCATTGATTTACTCCAAGTCATCACCTCAGTGATGCTTTGTTGTTTAGAAGCAAGTCAAAGATTCTACTTGTGTTCCAGAGAAGGGATTATTCAACAAGGAAGGTATTGAAATCATGGAGCCTACTTAAAATTCTTCCTACACCCAACAGATGGAATTAACAATTCTAAAAGCTCTTCTGTATCATTAAGTTATATATAACTACATAAATATACAATTATTTTAAGTTACAAATGAAAATTACTAAATAAAATGAACTTTGTGATATGGACATTCATGTTGCCTAACTCATAATTTAATCTACTCTGAAAATGCTTTTTATAAAAGTAAGGTAATTATATAATGACAATTTGATGATAAAACTTTCTAGAACATTTAAGAATTTGGTATAATTGATAGTTACTAAGCTTCATGTTTGTTTGTTTTTGCCTTTATTTGTCCTCAAATATTAACCTACATGGTATTACCTTACCATTACAGTTAGCTCCCTTGACTCCAATATAAATAATGCTACAAAAATAGTAAAGTTTTGTGATGAAAAAAGAATGATAATATAAAGTTTCTCAACATAGTAGGGGTTGGGACACAAATCATTCTCATTGTATTTTTTTTTAGTACTAACCTTAAAGTCCTTCAAAGCCTGTAATTTTTTTTAATATATATGGACAGTTATGCACCATATAACAATAGTCAAACAGAGGTGGTCCAGAAGAGAAGGAAGAGAGCCCAGGTACTTCTATTGGGTTTTAGGCAAAGCTTAGACATTTCTTGTAAATAATGCAGCTAAACTTCTGGTGCTGGAGAGATGACTCAGTGGTTAAGAGCACTGGCTGCTCTTGCAGAGGACCTGGGTTCAGTCCCCAGCACCCACATGGTGGCTAACAACTATCCATAACTCCAGTTCCAGGGGATCCAGCACCCTCTTCTGTCATCCAAGGGCATTGCATGACACAGGTGCACTTGCATACACACAGGCAATACACTCATATACATAAAATAATAAACATTTTTTAAAAGAAATTTAAACTACCTACTGTCTGGAAACTGGTGTCTTTGTGAAGACAGATGACTAAATATAAACTATGGGAGCTTACATGAAGTGCTCTGTGTACACTATAAAGGAAACAGTTGTGGTGAGATAGCTAATAGCAGGCATATCTATTTAGATTAGAGGGTTAGAGAAGCTTTTCTGAAGCAGTGGTTCAGCTTAGTGGATCTGAACTCAACTGAACAGTAACTAAACTAACTATTGGGAAAAATATTTTATTTGTGACATACTACATATTTATGGTATCATAAAATTGTGAGAAAATGAATATTATAAATGTTGAAATAATTTCTTTTAAAACATGTTTTTTCCAAATATATTTCAAAATAATAAATCAGTATAAACATGTTTTCTGTTTTTAGGAATGGTGGAAAGCAGCAGACATAATTGGAGTGGGTTGGATAAACAAACTGATATTCAGACTTTAAATGAAGAGAGAATTTTAGCTTTACAGCTTTGTGGGTGGATAAAGAAAGGAACGGATGTAGATGTGGGGCCATTTTTGAACTCCCTTGTCCAAGAAGGAGAATGGGAAAGAGCTGCTGCTGTGGCTTTATTCAACTTGGACATTCGTCGAGCAATCCAAATCCTGAATGAAGGGGCTTCCTCAGAAAAAGGTATCAGGTTGTTCTAAGAATTGCCTGTTCATAAAAAGGATGCTGATCATTTTCAATGTTAAGTGAATTTTTGTTGAAAGAGAAAATAGTATTCAGTACTGTGTAGCAGTCAATATTAGTCTATCCCATTTATTTTTGATTTAGATCTGTAAAAACAAAGATGCATCTTAAATGTCATTTTAATAATGTTTTCAAGTATATATTTCTCAATACTTTTCCTTATGAAGGTGATCATCTATATTAAGCTTCCTTAGTAATTGAGACTATTTTAGTTTTTAAATACTTTTACAATACACATTTAAGTGTATTTTGATGTTTACTTTCTCTTTTTGATGATTATTGGGTTAATATTCAGGAAACCAAATGCCATTTTATTGACCAGTATAGAATCTATTTATTAAAAAGCTTACTTTGATCTGGAAAATATTTCTATTTGAGTCAGATTAAAACAGGTTATGTATGACTTTTTTTTTTTTTAAGGAATATGATAAAGTTTCTTGGTCTGGCAATTTGCTGGAAGATTCTTAGGGAAACAAATCTTAGCCTGCAACCAAGATTATTTTTTCTATTACCAGATACATTTCACTTGAAAATTCCTAAGGTATATATAGCTATTTATTTTTAATACACCTAAAAGTTACTTCTGAATATTCAGAATACTGAATTCTTACTTTGGTTCACTTTCAGCCCATTATAGTTCAGTTATACCACTACAGAAAACTGTGCAATTCACTGTAATATATTTATTTATAGTTTAAATGTTGAAAAAGTTAGTGCTTTGCCCCAAGCATCTTCTCCTTCACCTTTGCTTCTAGGAAAGCCATCTTTTTTGACAGTATAAGACATATTTGGTGCCAGAGGAAAGAATTGTTACTAAAATTCTAGAGTTCCATTTCTTGGCTAGGGTTGTTGCTCAGTGGTAGGGTGCTTGCTGAGTATATATGTGGCCCTGGGTTCAATCTTCACTGCCCCGTCTCCCCCACCTACACACACAAAATATAAGAACAATAGCTATTTCTAATTGTAATTTTGCTACAGCCTGAAAGCATGGTACTTTGCTGTCATGTGTATCTGGAAAATTTCGTTATAGATAAAAACACCCATTTTAAAGTTTGTTTTAAAGTACCAAATAATTTCCAGTGATTTTTTTAACTGGGTTAAAGACTTATTGAGTCATACATTACATTTAGAAATGAATTACTCTATACAAATCCCAAAGAGATTCCTTGGTATCATTTTTTAATTTTTTTCTTGGTCTTTTTGAGCCAGGCTCTCTCTGTAGCCCCAGCTGGCTGGAAACTCATTATGTAGACCCAGCTGAACTCACAGAGATCCTCCTGGCTCGCATGGGATCCTGGTCAGTCTCCAGTATTGCCAAAAAAAGATAGAATTTATTCTGCACAGGGTTTACAAATATGTATATGAGTTATTTGTGAGGTTTTTTGTTTTCGTTTTTTTTTTTCCCCCTGTAGTCTCTGCCAAATTTTCCAGTCTAATTCAAACTGCTTATTCAAGTGTGCTCCTTTTTCTAGGCACAAAATTCACCGTCTGATGTCAATGTTTAGAATTTAAGGACTGTGAAAGAATGGGATATTAAGTTTCTGATCATGTTTATTAGCTGGCTATTTTAATATACAGGAGATCTGAATCTCAATGTGGTAGCAATGGCTTTATCGGGTTATACGGATGAGAAGAATTCCCTTTGGAGAGAAATGTGCAGCACTCTACGGTTGCAACTAAACAACCCTTATCTGTGTGTTATGTTTGCGTTTCTGACTAGTGAAGCAGGATCTTATGATGGTGTTTTGGTAAGCTATTTTGTTTCCTGATATCTTCCTTTGAATTAGAAGTAGAGTTTGTAATCTAACTTCAAAATTTTTCAAATATGTGTGACATATTTAAGACATGTTAAACTTTTTGTGGCACATTTCTTCTTGAGTGTCATTCACAACCTTGAGCTATTTAATGGTTGTCAAACTAGATTTGCTTTATATAGTTTTGATAATACAGTTTATAGCTATATAGCAGATACTTAATCTTTTTGCTGAAGAACTGAGGTATACAAATATAAACCTATAAACATACATATATATTTGCTATTTAAATGCTGCTAGTGTGTGTTGTGTTTTGTTTTTAGCTAAGTAAAGCAAGTGATGATCAATCAGTTTTGATTAGGGTGGCTACACATCTTAACGTTGGTCATTTTCAGATGTCCTATTTGGAAAATATTATTTGATCATACTCCTTACAATAAACTGTAGTCTTTCTGTCATTTTTTTTGCCTCTTGGTTTAGCCACCTATGACCACATCATAGCTTCTTTTTCACAAAGTGAGGAAAAGAATGAAATGAGGTTTGCTTTTTCATTTCATTTGTTCAGTTTAAAGCTTCACATTAGTAACACAATTTACTTTGCACTGTTTGTCTTCTTTCCAGTAATGAAAAGAGCCTTCTACATTAAAACTTATTTCTGTTTCCTCTTAAAGCATTTCTTAATAAAGTATAGATTGCTTCAATAATTGCCAATCCATATCATTTGTAAAAACATGTATTTTATTGAGGTATCATACTGAAAATTTTAATCAGTGTTAGTGCCTATTTTGGCAGTGTCTACAATTTGTGCATTTTGTCCATTGTTTTTAATAAACTACTATTGAACTTTTTTAACTACTTCAATATTCAGGAATGTGTATTTGTAGCAGTTACTACTACTTTTGTTAGATAGACTATTTGGTTACAGCTTTTAAAATATTTTATTACTTTTATTTTATGTGTATGAGTGTACTGCCTTGCACCCATATCATGCAATGCTTGTAGAGGTCAGAAGAGGGTTTTGAATCCCCCTGAAACTGTTCTTCCAGAAGACCTGGGTTTGAATCCCAGCACCCACATGGTGGCTAACAACCATCTATAACTCCATTTCCAAGGGATCCAGTGCTCTCTTCTGTCCTTCTCGGGCATTGCATGACACGGATGCACTTACACACATACAGGCATAACACCCATACACATAAAATAAATAAAAAATTAAAAAAAATAGTTATAACTCCAGTTTTGTAGCACATGTAGCTACATCTAAGAACTCAGTTTTTAGGATGAAATAATAGTTCATAATTGAGGAAACAGTGAAACAAGTATTAGCTGAGAGCATGTTTTAAGAAGGGAAAACAGTTGGGCATGGTGGTGCACACCTTTAATCCTATCACTCTGGAGGCAGAGGCAGGCAGATCTCTGTGAGTTTGAGGCCATAGTGAATTCCAGGCCAGCCAGGGCTACATAGTGAGACCCTGTCTCAAAAAAAGAAAAAGGAAAAACCAAAAAGAATTTATAGAATAGTTTCGATGGAGACTGGATCTTTTTACCATCTATAAATTATTTTTTGCTAATCACTGTTGGACCTTCCTAAATTTATAGAAACATTTCAAATAGTTTTTTTTTTATAATATTGATGAATAAAAATTTGAAATTATTATAATGCCTCCGAAGATTTTGCCACAAACTCTATAGCAGCATTTTGGACACAGAAGTATCTCTTAAGTTTTAAACCTTAGTATTTTGTGTTTAGAAAGAGGTATTGCTATTTTTCATAAAACCTGTATTATTATACCCTGTCCACCAAGTTCCTAGACTTAATAACTTTCCATGACTGTTTCTAAAAAATTAATTTCTATGATAGAAAGATTAGATGACATCTTAAGTTTGATAGACTATACATCATTTTTTAAAAATTTATTTATTATTTTTATTTTATGTGTATGTGTGTATTGCTTGCATGTAGGTAAGTGCACCCATGTCATGCAATGCCTGCGGAGTTCAGAAGAGGCTGTCAGATCCCCTGGGACTGGAGTTACGGACAGTTGTTAGCTGCCATGTGGGTGCTGGGATTCAAATCTGGGTCTTCTGCAAGAACACCCAGTATTCTTAACCGTTGAGCCATCTCTCTAGCCCCTATATATCATTTTTTATAGTTTATACTGAAGCTACAGAAGACTGAATTTTGTGTTTGAAGGATAAATCTTTTACTTTCAAGAACAACCTCAATACTGTATAGCCTGAGAGTTACATCAAAAAAGGCGTCTTTGGCAATGAATGATTCTTTCAACATCAATATAGTAACTTCTTAATATATTTGAAATTAAGTTTTCATAGTAGGTCTGTACCTAGTCTCTGTAAAAGTTGAGAAGTTATGGCTTGTACAATTAGCTTCTTGTATTATCTCTTTCCAGTATGAGAACAAAGTTGCTGTACGTGACAGAGTAGCATTTGCTTGTAAATTCCTTGGCGATGCTCAGGTGAGAACTAATTTAATTCACATTTGAGGTGATTAATGTTTATTATCATTTAATTCTTTTAAGACAAAATCTTCACGTATAATTATGGTGCCTATGAGATTGCTACATGATCGCTAAAAGATACTAATTAAATTGAGATTATAAACATGTCTATCATAATTACTTATTTAGAATATTGATTTGATATTTTAGTTTACTTTTGCTCTTAGAAGAAAATTAACAGATTAAAATTCATCTTCTTAGTGATGATATAAGTGATTGATTTTCAGTGCAGTAAATAGTTGCCTGTTGCCTAAGAGGGTAGTAGGGAAGAAGTGTACACAGGCAACTCGCCATGCTGTAGTAATGACAAAATACTGGGGCAGTGGAGAGGAATGCTGGCTGGAGTTTGGACTAGGATGAAGACAGAAAATCAAAGGAAATAGTTGTTACTGATGATTTTGAACATATGATTCCGATTCTGTGATTCTGTTACAACTGCTGTGATAGACGGGAAGAACTGCTGAAAAGAGACCACTTTTCTTAGAGTAAGCCATCTTTTATATTTCTAGGATAGTTATTAGAACACAGTATATGCCTTACATATTTAAAAATGATTGTGGGAGCTGGGGAGCTAGCTTACTGGTAAAGTGCTCACTGCATAAATATGAGGACCTGAATTCAATTTCCTAGAACCCCAAGAAAAAAGCTGAGTGCAGTAGTGTGGGCCTGTAATCCCAGGACTGAGTGGCAGAGACAGGAAGATCCCTGGGACTTGCTGCTCTGTCGTTCTGGCCAAGCTGGCAAGCTCCAGGTTCAGTGAGAGACCATGTCCCAAAATATAAAGTAGAAAACTATTGAGGAAGATCTACTGCTACCCTCTGACCCACATACATTCATGCTATACAAAAATAAAGTGATTATGGATATTGTATTGGAATTTTAAACAGATGTAGACTTATTAGTATATATCTAAATTCTGACAAGGGCTTCTATCTTAAAATGTTTTACATTAGGAGTGAAAATGTTCTAAAATGGACTAGTTCTCAATTTCAAAATATGTAGTGAAACAGACTGCATTAGAAAAATTGCTTTGAATTTTCCAGTTAAATAGATACATCGAAAAGTTGACCAATGAAATGAAAGAGGCTGGAAATTTGGAAGGAATTTTGCTTACAGGCCTTACTAAGGATGGAGTGGACTTAATGGAGAGTTATGTGGATAGAACTGGAGATGTCCAGACAGCAAGTTACTGCATGTTACAGGTTAGTGCAGTTTGACACTAGCTTTACAAACAAAAATGAAAGCGCTAAAGCCATATTCTGCATGCTTTGTTTCCTCAGCTGAAAATGAATGTGCAGTTTTTCTTGCTTTGGATCTTTGGTGTGTGTAGGTTTGACCTGAATCTCTTGAGGATTTGTGTCTTATCTCACTGTCTATAAGTTTCTTCATCAGGTTATCCAGGTTTTCTTTCTGTCTGGGTGAGAAATACTTGACTACATCAGAATTCATGTAAAGCTCAGGTGGAATAGAGAAACTTCATTTCTTCCCATTGTTGACATTCACACACCTATAAAAGTTTCCCTTTCCCTGATCTGAATTATGGTTTCATTTGAAGTGCAAAAGACAAGTTATGCAATAATTCCTTTAACTCTTTCTCTTTTTCTTATCAATGAGTAATTTGAGTAAGTAGCTCATCCATTTTTCTTTTTCTTAGTTTTTGCTGTACAGTGGTTAAAACCAGATTCTTGGAACAGGTTGCTTTCTACTTGACTTTTGTGGGAAACATGAATTCACTATGTCCCAGAGATGTCCGGTTGTCCTCCAGCTAGTCTTAGCTTTTCATGACATCAGTTCCTTTAATGCTGTCTTCCCTTTGTACAGTATGAAAGCCTGCCTTACCTGGGTAAACAAATCAAAATGACCCTTTCTCTACACTGCTTTCCTATGAACTTACCTAATGCTGGCCCAAAATGTCCAAAGTCAGCTTATATAAGGTACTAAGCGACTGCCCATGCAAAAAAAAGTTATTCCTCAATAACATTTTTTCTTACTGGAGTGAGATTTTATCTTTTTAAAAATCAACTATAGGTATACAGCTGTAAGGTACAAATGGGTAAGAGCACAGTTTGTAAATGTCTTTAAAATGCAGACAGTACATAACGTTACTGCGTTCTTATTGTAACGCCACCATCATATTCACCTGAACAAATAGACTAACTCTTAAGTTTTTAAGAGTGGGCCCGAACTCAGAGAACACTAGTTCCCTTAGCTAACTATTAAAATCGTCAAGTCTTCCAGAATTGTGCTGATGAATCTCTCTTGTCCCTCAGCCTACATAGATGGCTCTGTCTTTGTGCTCACCCTGTGCTGATGGAACTGTCTCTGGAGCCCTGTTTTTCCCACTGTCCCTCCATGTCATGTGTCCTGTCCATCCCTCTCCCCTTGTCAAACCACACCCATAATTTATTCAAAACCACTTCTCCAGCTTCTTGGGGGAAGTACAAATTCAAGTTCCGCTCCACTCTTAATCTCCACAAACCATCCCTAGTTCCCATTCATTCAAGGTTAGTTGTCCTTCCCAATCTCCACTGTTTCCATGGAGATGCATGGGTGTACTCCTTGAAGTATTTTGTTACATTGTCAGTCATACCTGCATATGTTATCTTTTTGGGTGAAGTGCCAAACTGAGGTTGCCAAGAAGACACCAAGAGCACATGGTTTCACTGGGGTTAATTAAAAGTCATTAGTTCAGGGCTGGGGAGAGGGCTTAACGGTTAAGAGTACTAATTGCTCTTGCAGAAGACCCAGGTTCAAATCTTAGCACCCACATGGTGGCTAACAACTGTCCATAACTCCAGCGACAGAGAATCGGATGCCCACTTCTGGTCTCTGCAGGCATTACATGGCACTGGTATACTTAGATGCAGGCAGTACATGTATACATATAAACAAATTTTTTAATGTTTTTTAAAAGCCATTAGTCCAGAGTATGTCTGTTAAAAGTCATTCCCACACATGATCTTTTTAAAAGTATGGATATTATTGTTTAATGAGGTGTTTCCTCCATTTATATTTACATGGCCAAGAGTAATCCACCACTGTGCTGTTTTCATTTGGTTTATCTTTCCTTTTGTTCCTCTGCTCTTTCCTGCCTCATTTTGGTTTAATGGCATATTTCTGTATTCTACTTTATTTCTTCTAAAGTCACACTTTCCCCCTTGTACTTCATTTCATGCCTGACGTCATTCTTCTGTATCATCCTTTCGCTTTCCTACTGCACATTGGACACTTTGAGTTATTCTTAAACTTCTCACTTTGCAAATATTAATGTGATTCTGATTGTGAGTCTATTTCATTGTCCATTGGTCAGATATTTTATTCTATATATATTATAAACTCCAACTTAATGTTATTATTTTTACTTTAAACAGTAATTTGTTATATAAATTATGAGAAGAAAGGAAATAATTTCAGTTACTGTACTCTGCAGTTGTAGAATGTCAACTTGTTAAACTTTTCTCAGGTTGGATTCCCTATTTATTCACTAGTTAAGATACTATTTCCCATTAGGTCTTTGAACACATTTCTTTTAATGTTTTTATTTGATTTATTACCTACTGCACTAAATCCTTTATCTAACTCTGACATTTAAGCCATCTTAGTTGTAGTTTCTGTTGACTGCCTTTTTCCTTGATTTTTTACCACATTACCTATTCATTGTATGTCTAGTGATTTTCTTCTTCATTGGCATTGTCTATGTAATATTACAGATATTTGGCTTTGTTAAATCTTTTTCTGAAGAATATGGATTATTATTTTTGAGAAATTAAGTTACTTACCGGTCACTTTTGGTTTTTTATTACCCTGAATTTATGGAAACACCAAGTATTTCCCAAGCTTTTCTAACTTTTTCAGACTCAGTATCTGAACTGTTTCCTCTGAAGATCATATTGAAACTTGATTTTATATTTTATTTGGGTAGGTCTAGAAAAGACTTAAAAAATGTAGGTTGACCATATTCTTTCTTCACTAATCCTTATAGCCGTGGAAGAAAAAAGAGTTAGAAGATAGGTAATTTTTCTGTGATTTTTTTTTTCTTTTTGCTTTAAAACTTTTCAAATTATTTATTTAATAACCATATAATTAGAAGAAGCATTTCATGACAATAGCATTGACATATTCAATAACAATATCCAGAGCTAAGATGCATCTCTTTCATAATAAGCTGCAAATTTTTAGGTTTACAGTTGAATTAATACAGTCATACAATAATGAACTCAGTAAAAGCCCTGTAGGACATAAAATTGGATGAGTTTTTACCCTTTAAAGAAGATCTCCACTTCATTTTAAGATATGTTGTTTCCTACATTTTTTTTCAATAAAATATTTTTTTCCAATTTAGTTTTTTTAAATCAACACTTCAGCTT